TGATCCAGCCCGGCTGGGGCCCCATTCCCCATGAATGGAGGTCCAGTCGGGCTGCGGTGTGAGATAATCACCACAGTGCAGCAGGGAGTGGGGCAGGGGAAAATGATTCACCCCTGCCCCTACCCTACTCCCTCTTGGTTTGCTGGGGTCTTGATCTTCCTCCCATAACCCAGGCAAAAAGGAGACTTCAGGTAAGTTTCTTTCAGTCTCCTTCAGCCAGCTGTGATCCTGGCTGAGCAGGGTATGTGAGAGTGTGTGCGCCTCCTGCCCATCCGCTGCAGCAGTCTGCAGCCGGGCAGCCCTAAGACCCTACCTGCTGCCTGTGTTTGGGGGGGCTGAGCCCCATTAGCCCCCCTTCCGCCATCTATGACCATAGGTATTATCTCACCAGTTAATCCAGCAGAGCTATCACCCTCCGTACAGAAACAGAGAAGCCAGTGAGATTGTGGGCTTTTACCTAGTGGGAAGAGGCAACTTCTTTCAGGTTCAGAGAGCTTTTGTTCCTAGTGATATGGAGGCTATTCTTCAGGTGTTGTACCTGTACCACTCCTAGTCAGGCAGGTCCCTCACAGAGTATTTTATACTGTATGTCATTCAGCCAGTTACTAGAAATGCTCAAAGTTAATATTTTAATTTGGGGGAATATGTCCCTTAAAAAAGTGAAATATCCCTTTTTTCAGGGAACCCCCCCCCCATTCACATTAATTGAAATACTGATTGACCATTTTTATCAAAAGCATTATAGAACTGAGATTTCTTCTTAATTTTATTTTATTAATGGTTTCATAGAATTGAAATGATAGGCCAGAGAGCTCTAGCAACCTGAGAATAAAATAACTTTGTTTCACTTCTTTCCTGAAAAAAAAAAAACATATATATATAAATATAACATTTTAAGCAGCTTTTGTTATGTTCTATTCTTTTCTTTCTTTCTTTTTCTTTATCTTTTCTGAACAGTCTCCAGCTTATCTATCTGGGTGCATTTATTAGTGTCCCTAACATGCTGTTGTTACTGCACCATCATTTTGTATTTCCTCTTGGAAGTACTAAATGACAGTGTAGTAACAACCCATACTGTGTCGTTCACATGGTGCATGGTTCACATGCGATGTCATCATTGTAACGTGCTAAAAGAGGGGACATGTTGCTATGGCAACATAGCTGCTGTGTCACTTTCTTGCCCGCAGGTGTTATGTCGCTGTAACGAGTTGCTGCGGCAATGTAGTGTCATGTGTAGACAAGCCCATTAGGTGGTACTTTTTATCTACACAGCTGCTGTGTCACTTTCTTGCCCGCAGGTGTTATGTCGCTGTAACGAGTTGCTGCGGCAATGTAGTGTCATGTGTAGACAAGCCCATTAGGTGGTACTTTTTATCTACACGTGCTGCAGATAATGTCCATAATGATAAATATCATTGTTTGTGGTGATAGGAAAGGAGAATCGCCAGAATGACTCAGCGACACTCACTGACTGTGAAATGTTTCGCCACGAGGTGCTATTGTGAGATTATTTCCCATTGACTTCAGTCAGACTCACAGGTAAGAAGGTCGTATTAGCGGTGCAGCTACTATTTGGGTACTATCACCAGCATGGTGTATAGGAGTGCATTATTCGCCCCACATCTGGGCAAGGAAAATAGCATGCACTGACTTGTTCACTGCCATGGCTAGATTGCAAGCAGGACTTCTGTTAACTCTTATAAACCTGGCTATGATGTCTCTGCACAGTCTAGTAGTTTAGGATAGGTAACCCTTTCCAGCTGCAAACTGGAATAACCTACCCCAGGTTGGAGGTGGGCGGGTGCTAGGGCTCTGCCAACACTGTAACTTGTTTCCAGGAATGGATCAATTCATGGGCCAAGGGGCCCAGGCCCGGGGGCCCCTACCAATCAGGGGCTCTCTGGGAGCAAGGTAGGGGATGTAGCAGGGACCCGCCACACATCCTAGCCTGCAGGGGAAAGTCCTGCAAACCGCTGAAGCTCCATTGCATGTTAAACACCTGAGAGCCAGAAGTAGGTAGTGGCTGGGAGCTTGTCTCACCACTCCGTGGGGACAGCTGGGATGAAGTGGCAGTGAGGACCAATGCTGCCCTTGCCACTCACTGCCCAGCTGGTCTGTTCCTCTCCCATCCCTGTGCCTGAAAGGAGCCTGATCCTGCTCTCCTTTCCTCCCAAGGGTCGCGTTGCAGGGCAGGTAAGCAACCACAGAATGGGTTGCTGTGCCGCTCACGGCAGATACAGAGTGCGTGCGTGCATGCATGTGTGTGTGTGTGGTGCTGGGGGTTGTAGCCGCAAACCACCCCCAAACTGCATCAGATCCCCCAGCAAGGCAGGGTGCGGTGCTTTAGTCCTGCTGCTAATGGGTGCTTTGGGGTACAGAGAAGGGGAATCCTACTCACCCCAGGATGTATTAGCGGTGCAGCTACTATTTGGGTACTATCACCAGCATGGTGTATAGGAGCTCATTATTTGCCCTGCATCTGGGCAAGGAAAATAGCATGCACTGACTTGCTCACTGCCATGGCTAGATTGCAAGCAGGACTCCAGTTAACTCTTATAAACCTGGCTATGATGTCTCTGCACAGTCTAGTAGTTTAGGATAGGTAACCCTTTCCAGCTGCAAACTGGAATAACCTACCCCAGGTTGGAGGTGGGCGGGTGCTAGGACTCTGCCAACACTGCGAGTTGTCCCCAGAAATGGATCAATTCATGGGCCAAGGGGCCCAGGCCCGGGGGCCCCTACCAATCAGGGGCTCTCTGGGAGCAGGGGCAGGGGATGGAGCAGGGACCTGTCATGCTTCCCAGCCTGCAGGGGCAAGTCCTGAAAAGCACTGAAGCTCCACTGCATGTTAAACACCTGAGAGCCAGAAGTGGGTAGCAGTTGGGAGCTTGTCTCACCACTTCGCGGGGACAGTCAGGATGAAGTGGCAGTGAGGATCAATGCTACCCTTGCCACTCACTGCCCATCTGGTCTGTTCCTCTCCCATCGCTGTGCCTGAAAGGAGCCTGATCCTGCTCTCCTTTCCTCCCAAGGGTTGGGTCGCAGGGCAGGCAAGCGACTCAGAATGGGTTGCTGTGCTGCTCACTGCCCCCAAACTGCACCAGATCCCCTTGCAAGCAGCATGTGGTACTTTAGGCCTGCTGCTTTGGGGTGCAGAGAAGGGGAATCCTACTGGCCCCAGGATGCTTCCTACAGTTCTTGACCCCAAAGAAGGCTGCTGATAGAGAGGGAGTGTGCATTTTTCCCAAGTGATGGCAAGTAGTATGGGGAAGGGTGAGCCCTTCCAGGGGCTGATTAGATCTCTGTCTGTCTGTCTAGATACATTGGATATAGAGAGAAAGACTGTGCATATGTGTGTGTATATGTATACATCTATATAGATATCTATATATAGAGAGAGATAGTGGTGTAGAGAGAGAGAGATTGTGTGTGCATATATGTAAGTATATATCAAAATATCTATACATGTTGGTTACATAATTATGCAATGGTAGCACAAGGGTGTAATGGGTAGAGAAAAGATAGAGCTTTACATTATATGACACTTAGCATATGTTTATTTTTTTGGAAAAGATAAAAACATTGGGATGTTTTGTGTAGATGGTGGTGTAGAGAGAGAGAGATTGTGTGTGCATATATGTAAGTATATATCAAAATATCTATACATGTTGGTTACATAATTATGCAATGGTAGCACAAGGGTGTAATGGGTAGAGAAAAGATAGAGCTTTACATTATATGACACTTAGCATATGTTTATTTTTTTGGAAAAGATAAAAACATTGGGATGTTTTGTGTAGATGTATTGCTTTATTTTAATTGCAAGAATCACTAACAGCATTCTTAGACTCATACTCAAGGCTATCGGTATGGCCCGTATTTTTCTTGGAATAGTTACTGTAGTGCAGGTACGATGTAAAATGTGTATTTAAAAAAACAGTCAGACAAGAATCTATATGACCACTAAACTAGAACATCTTTCCTTTCATGTTATTATACATTTATGGCAATCCCATGCATCTGAGTCATTTTCCTACGGCAGTTGTTTTATTCAGTTTTGTGTGCGGCAAAACTGAGTAGTTCATTTTGACATTGCCTGTTGTGCTTTATTTATTAATGCATCATGAAAACATTTAACAGGTCTATTTATTAATGCTTTTTGATACATTCCTGTTTCTAACGTGGTGTGGGGGACCTCCAAGTCTCCCTTTGCCCAGGGCCCCAGGAAATCCTAAGCCACCACTGCATGTCTCCCCTCGTGGTGCAAGTGGAACGCCCAGAGCCAGCGTTCTGCCTCACAGCAGCTTGGGGAGAGCACCTGAAGAAAGTGCCTTCCCGCCACCAAAGCACCAAATCCCCGGGCCAGATTCAAAGGCTCCACAGGCAGAGGTTGCCGATCCCTGCTGTAGTCAGTTCTGTGTCCTCAGCATAGACATACCACAGGTTACACCACTGCAACCATGTGGAGCTGGGGCCTGTAGCTGGACGTACCAATCCTGGGCTAATTATGGAAAACCTATAGCCCTAAGTAAACACTTTCCCAGGGAAGTGAAGTTATTCTCTTATGAACTATAATGTCTGTCATTTCTTTCACAGGAGAAGAAAACTTGCCAGTTATCTCAGTTCCTATTACTGAGTGTACGCACATTCCCCAAGGATATGGTTTTTGTCCAGGGTTTCAGGCAAAGCCGCATGAAGAGGAAATGAAGAGTGGGAATGAAACATCTTCAGCAGACTTTATTCTGTTGGGATTCCTGAGCCGGAGCAATGTACACATGTTCTCCATGGCCATGATCTTATTAGCCTTCATCGCTGCTGTGTCTGGGAATGCTCTCCTCATCCTTCTAATCAAAGTGGATTCCTCCCTTCACACCCCCATGTACTTTTTCCTAAGTCAGTTGGCCTTCATGGACATCTGTCAGACTCTGATTGTTGTTCCCAAAATGGCAGCAGACTTCCTGACCCCAGGCAACCCCATTTCTCCAGCTGGCTGTGGGGCTCAGATTTTCCTCTCCTTGACAATGGGTGGAGCAGAGTGCCTCCTCCTGGCAGTCATGGCTTATGACAGGTACGTAGCGATCTGCAACCCCTTGCAATACCCTCTCCTCCTTTGATTCTTACAGCTTCTACCATGCACTTGCCCTACTGCGGCTCTAAAAAAATTAACCACTTTTTCTGTGAGGTCCCAGCCCTGCTCAAATTGTCCTGCTCTGACACGTCCCAATATGAGACCCTGCTGTTTGTGTGTAGCATCCTTATAATCCTTATCCCTTCTTCCACCATCCTAGCCTCTTATGCTCGCATCCTTGCTGCAGTCCTAAGGATGAATTCAACCAGACAGCAGAAAGCCCTGGCCACCTGCTCCTCTCATCTGACTGTGGTGGGCATGTTCTATGGGACAGCCATCTTCATGTACATGAGACCCAGCTCCTACCACTCCCCAGAAAAAGACAAGATTTTGTCTCTGTTTTACACCATTGTTCCCCCAGTGCTGAATCCTCTCATCTACAGCCTGAGAAACAGGGATGTCTTAGGAGCCCTAAGAAAGCTGGTTGGGAAATGCAGAGTCTTCCAGCAAAATTGACAAATGCTGTAGCTTACTGTGAGCTAAATCTCATTCAACTGAGACGGCCACCAGCAAGGTTTTCTGGAACATTTTGGAGACTACATTTTCTCAGTCATTTAACAACCAGTGACCTACTGTGAATCATGGGCTATATCAGTAAATGTTTAGAAAAAGGTTTGAGGAGGTCTACTCCCTTTTCCATGTTCACTCGAGTTCTCTTGTTGGAGGAAATTTAACTAAATTATTGCATACGTGAAGATTTAATGGGTGTTTGAGACTTTGTATTTCCCTTATGCTGACCCTATGAAGGAAGCCGACACCCAGATAAAAAGTCAAGCTAATAGGTAAAGTGGCAGGGCAACAGATATGATTTGGGGCCCAAGAAGACAAGACTTATGAGGAAAAGTTGAAAGAACAAGGGGTATTTAGTAGGGCTATGCAAAGCTTTGGTTCCTGATTCCATTCAGTGGAGATTCGGCCCAATTTGGTGGCCGAATCTCTGAATCTGAATTGAATGAGAGGACATTTTAATCTTTCTGAATCAAATCAGAGCCCTTGGAATTGATTTGGAGACATTAGGAAAGATTCAGCGATTCAGTGATAGAGGCAGCTTTAAATGCTTTTTCTATGTATCTCATGAGTGCTTCGATTCTGGGGCACATGAAGCGTCCCACAGGAGCAGGCCCGGAAGTGGACCAGAAGCAGCTCTGTGTCTGTGGGGGAGTGGGGGGGGGGGCTCCCATGTTCCCCTGGCTTGGCGACTGGTGCCTCCTGGGCCTGGAGTGGCACCCGGGGTCCCCCTGCCCCCAGTCGTTGATCTGGGGGAGTATGGGGAGGAGTCCCTGGTGTGCTCCCCGGAGGACCCAGAAATGGACCGGAAGTACTTCTGGGTTTGCCACTGAGCGTGTGGAGGGCCCCCCAAACTCCTGTGGAATGCTTCATGCGTCCCAGCATTTCAGCGTTCACAAGCCGTGCTGGTACCTTAAGGTATGTAAAAAAAACATTTAAAACTGTCTCTATATCCGAATCGCTGATTCTCCAAATCAGCATTGAATCTTCAGATTTGGATTCAGTCAAACTGAATCAGGGACAGTGATCCAAACCAACAAATCAAATCACTGTCCCTGATTTGGGCCAAATCTGAATCGAATAGGGCCCATTTTGCACACCCCTATAATTTAGCCTGGAGAAGAAAATACTGTGGGGGGATTTGAGAAGTCTTCAAAAAGCTGAATGATGTTATAGAGAGAATGGAGATGAGCTTTTCTCTGTGGCTATGCACGTGCTTCGTTGTGGGAGGGGGGGATTTTAATTAGCATAGTTCCCAGATAGCTGCTCTACTTAAAAGGCCACAATGCCACATACATTAAGCCCCTGTGCATTTAAAAAGGGCCACAGGATGCTTTATTTAAAGCTTTTTCTATGAGGTTTACGTAAAGCACCCCCACGGCCATTTTAAATTGTGCAGGGGCTTGATACACATGACACTGCAGCAATGCTGCAGCACTCTAATAAGAGGCGATTAATAGGATCTGCTCCAATGTGTTGTAAGGAAAATCCAAAGAGCACCTGTCTAGGCAGCCATAGTTTTTACAGAAGAGAAGAAAAGCTCTATTTTAGGTTAACCTGTTCTATTTAGCAGCCTTATTCATGAAAAAAGGCTGTTACCCAAGCATCTCTCTAAGCCTTGTATAAAATAAATTGATTTGATTTAACCAAGATATCATGGAAAAGGGCAACAGGGGGAAACAGGAAGCTTGCTAGGTTGACATCCATGGCAAGAATGCAGAGCAGTAAATGAAAACAGAATGATGTTCGATGTTCCTGTCTTTGTGACTGGACAAAATGGAGCCGATCAGTAGACGGGACCAAATGAATGCAGGGCATTAATCAAATAATGGAATTTTTCATTAAAATTAAATAAAACATTGAAAAATGAATTGCTGAAGAGGTATAATACTTCTTTCACCTATCACATCTTCCAGTTTTCCCATGAGACTGGTATTATGGTGCTAGTTCTCAAAGAAGTAATTGAATAATTCTGTGAAGCAACAAAAATGATCCGGGGCCTGGGAGACGAGACTTATGAGGAAAGGTTAAAAGAACTGCAGTTATTTAGCTTGGAGAAGAGAAGACTGCCAATAGCGTTTGATAACTGTCTTGAAATATCTGCAGGGGGATTATAGATAGGATAGAAATGTGTGATTATCTGTGTCTGTTGGGGACAGGACTAGGAGCAATGGTCTCACACTGCAGCAGGGGAAGTTGAGGCTGGAGATTAGGGCGAACTAGCTAACTCTGGGAGCAGTCGCACATTGGAACAGGCTGCCTAGGGAAGCCGAGGAGTCTCCATGCTTGAAAACATTCAAGAGCAGGTGAGAGAGGCACTTGCCAGGGGATACTTAGTCAGGGATGATCTTGGTTTGAGCAGGAGCTGAACAAGATGTGACCTTGCGAGGTCCCTTCCAGCCCTACATTCCTACAAGCATAGGATCTTATGATCCTAAGTGCTTAGACGCACATGTTCCCAAGAACTATTTTAAAGAGCAAGGGACTTTAGACCCGATTCTTGTCTCACCTATATTTTTTTTACGCCATTTTCACTCCACTGAGACAATGGTGGAACACGGTTTTTTACAAAAGAGAAGAAAAACTCCATTTTAGTTTAATCTTTTCTCTTTAGTGGAAAATATTATTATTATTATTATTATTATTATATTCATAAAAAATGTTACCAAGTATCTGCCTAAACCTTATGGAAGAGAAATTGATTTGATTTATGTAAGACATCACAGCAAAGGGCAACAGGGAGAAACAAGAAGCTTCCTAGCTTTACATCCATGGTGAAATGGCACAGAAGCAAATGAAAACACAATGACATACAGCGGAGGCACTCATAGTAATAAGAGGAATAAGAGACCATGGTGTCTGTGGTGCTCAGGTGCACTGATGGATGAGGTTGTTGATAGTGGAGCTGGCTCTGAGTCTAGCCAAGACATGGTTCCCAGACGAGGAAAGTAGTTGAACTCAAATGTGGCTTGGAGGAAACAGTGACCCTGAACTGAATAGCAAGACAGAGACGGGAGACATAGGATACTTCTTGCAATAATCTAGGCCAGGTTGTCCAAAGTAGGTCACTGAAGACCATACAGACCTGGGCCAACCCCTGTGCTTCAGACACTGGGAGTTAAGTGCTTGAAAAAAGGTTTCAGAGGAGAGGATCCCAGAGCTTTGCACAGTGCTGGAGCCCCTGAGTCACCCGTCTGCCTCCTGTACACATGTACAGCATGGTGGCCATAGGCCTGGAGTGAGTGGCTTGGGCCAATGCAAGGGACTGAGCATGAGAAGATTTTGGATAATGCACTTACAACTGATTGGGAGTGTGCAGACTTTATGTATGGACCCTGTTGTTTTCATGGAGCTGAAGTGGGACGCAGGGGAGGGATCCAGATGTTTTGGTTTGCATGGCCAGAAAGTGATGGAAAAGTAGGTCTGTTTGCCTGAGATCACATGCAGGACTTTCTGCATGGCTCAGTTAAATGGTGAGTCAGAGACCAGAAGGGAATAAAGCAGACGTGACCTCTTATTAGGAATCTGGCACTTCTGGATGTTCAGAAATCCTATCTGCTTTTGCTTGTATCCTGTCTCTGGTCCTGAGTAGGGACCTACCAAATTCATGCTGGAAGCTGCCTAGGAAGAAGCTCCTTTAATCTTGGAGGTTCCCCTCTGCAACCTCCCACAAATCCTCACCCCCACTCCCACCCCCAGTTGCTGATAGGCTGAGGGGTCCCAGTAGCCCTGCTGCATGTGTCTGACCAGGTGGAAGGAGAAAACATCACCATATTTAAAACCACAGCTTTTGCCTGTCTGCCAATCAGGAGCGAGGGGCAGGGCCCTGCTGTCAATCAGGGGAGGGAGGAACACGTTCCAGGGAACCTGCAAGATGAAGGGAATTGCTGCGCAGCCCACGTCCACTGTGAATTCGGTAGATCCCTAGTCGTGAGGACAATGTCAGACAAACAGAGGGCACTCGCCACATGTGACAGTGCTGGGGCTGTTCTGCTGAGACAGTGTCAAGAGCCCAAAAGGCAGCCCAGCCTAACCAAAACAGGCTCTAACCTGTGGCCCATCTTTGTTATTGAACAACTGGCCAATGTTAGGGCCTTCTGCCTGGCTGCTGGTAATAGCAGTCTCTGCAAGAAAGTCCAGCTGTGGCAGCAGGCTGCAGGCCAGCCAACACTTCTGTCTGAAGATCTGCTGTGGTTAAGCTCTCTGGATCCTGCACTCACTGCTTTTCCAGTTTCTCAACCTGCTCACCTGTGTGTCTGGGCTTTGGCTCTTGGAATCTCCTCTTTGCTTTTGTTATTCACTTCCTCACCCCTGAAGCTTGACCGGGACACTCTCTCAGCTTTTCCCCCATGGATCTCATGGCTAAGTCTTTGAATCCTGATACGTAATTTGCACCGCGAAGGCCAATGTTAGGGCCTTCTGCCTGGCTGCTGGTAATAGCAGTCTCTGCAAGAAAGTCCAGCTGTGGCAGCAGGCTGCAGGCCAGCCAACACTTCTGTCTGAAGATCTGCTGTGGTTAAGCTCTCTGGATCCTGCACTCACTGCTTTTCCAGTTTCTCAACCTGCTCACCTGTGTGTCTGGGCTTTGGCTCTTGGAATCTCCTCTTTGCTTTTGTGAATAGCCCAAGTGAATCTCACTTCGGCTATTCCATCTCTAGTTTATGGTCTGACCTAATTTAATGGGTTTTTGCTGTGAACTCTTTGTTACTGGATTGTCCCAACACCAGTGTTCAGTCCACGGGACACCGAACCAAGAGACACCAACAAGAACAGCCCAGCCAAGACAGGCGGTGAGCACAAGAAGTATCCAGGTAAGAGACAGGGGTCCGGATGGTCCTGGGATTAGTGGGGCACTGTATACACCCTTAGGAGGCCTTAAATGCCTCTATACTAATGCTCGTAGTATGGGGAACAAGCAGAAGGAATTTGCCTTCCTGCTACCTAACACAAACTCAGACATAGGGAACCCCGATGCTGACATGGTCACCGGCAGC